TATATATATATATATATCTTCAATTATATTACGATATTATATTGTATATAAATTTCTTGGTAATTATATTGTAAAATGGTTTAAGTATTTGGACATATATCAAAAGTGTCACAACCATATGGAGGAGGTCAGGAAGGGCAAAAATATCATTGAGTAAAGGATAGTAACCAGCTTCGTCTATCTCTGTCACGATGGTATCTAGTCTCCAGGCAGAAACTATTAGCACCCATTGCCTTAAGCACAATGACAAAGCTCACTTCACTAACTTACAAAAGTTTCATAGCTGCAAGGATTATTGGTATTGAGAGATTATAAGTTAGATCCTGCAAAGATATATTATGTATTAATCATTGTAAGATTACTATTTTGAAATTTTTAAGTCGTGTAATAACAAAATACGAATTTGTAAAATTAGTTTTAGATTTTTTTTTTCCTCCTCCCTTCCTTTTTAACGGAAAATTTTTTGTGTTTTATATTATTTAGATTTCGGATGTAACTACTGTATTGTAAATAACTCTTCGAAAGTATGTTTTAATCATTTAAAATCTTCTTAAGTGTATAGGTACAGTTTTAGTATCGTCAAAGTGAATTCAATATTACAATCTTTCGAAGGTAATTCAATATTTAGATTGTCTTCTATTACTTTTGCATTAATTTCAAGCAATAAAAGTACTAACAAAACTGAAAGAATAGTTAAATTTACGAAAGTTTGCTTGTTTAGATTAAGTTACGATAAGTTTTAAATATTTAAATTACTTTAAGAAAGAATTATTAATATCATTTCAATTTTTAATAAAGCTATACAGTGAATGAAGTATACGTACAGTACATTTATACAAGCGAATGTATTACACTATATTCAGATTTAGAAATAAGTTTGCTTAGAATTTAAAAATAGGGCAAAAATATCATTGAGTAAATATTATTTGTATATAACCGAATATAAAAAATGAAGATCTTCAAAGCTGTATTTCGTTTATACACATAAGAGTATCTTTGATGCCACACTAGGAGTCGACGTGCCATCAGTTCATAAAGATTTATACTATAAAATATATATTATATATTGTAAAATTAGTTTTATAATTTAAATATCTTATAAGTAATTAGGCGTTAAACTTTACTCCAAGTAATTTATGTTATTTATAAATTTATAACTAGTAGATACTGTGTATAAACTTTATAGGTAATAAAGTTTTCGAAATGATTTTGAAATCTTGGCGAATTTTTCTCATATGTAACACTTATAACTTAAAATATTCGAAAAGTATATATGCATTTGGAAAAATTGTTATGATTTGTGTGGAGAATCGCATTCTCAAAGTAATTTTTCACGATTATGTAATTTATCTTTCAAGAAAAAATAATACATTTCAGTTAAATAATGGAATTTTTCTTTCGCAAAATTAAGAGAAAATGTTTATATTCGTAATTAAAAAGTTTACTTTTATATTTAAAAATCCCGAAAGAAGATGGAAAGAAGTAAAGGTTTTATGAAATGAGAATGAAAATATAAATCTTTGCAAGGAATTGTATTGGATTATCTCTAAATAAAAGTCATTAGTTTGATGGAAAGTGAAGCTCTCTTGATTTACCTATGGGCGTTTTAGAATATGTGAAAAGTAAATTCGAAGAAATTCTTCATTTTCTTCTCAAGTATTGATCTTTCTTTCAAGAAAGAATAACCATGATGGTGAAATTCACAAAGCGTGAATAATATGAGATACACAGATGGATAGTTTTTCACAATTCTTCTATTACAATAAAAATACATACCGTACTTTATATTGTGATTGATGCAACCATGGCAGAAACAATATAAAATAACTTTTAAAATCACACTATATTTCTTTTATTTTGTATTCCCGAGTTTGGCGAAATGTTCAGTCGATGTGAATAATAATTTAACGATTGGTATTTACTATTAAAGATTTATTTAATAATTTTCAGTGCATTATTGACTATTTCATTTATTATTTATTAGTTCTGCAAATTAATTTATTTCCAATAAATTAATTTAAATAAATCAATAATTATAAATTATGGATTGCTTTAATAAACATATTTCTTTTAGAAACGAAAACGAATAGTAAACTTTTTCCAACTTCTGGAACAAACGAAGGATAATGCATGTTTTGCATTATCCTTCGTTTTGTATAGCATGGATTCGCATAATACGGCACTTTTTCGGAACATAACTACCCTGTTATACGAGGGATACCTGTATATCTTTAAATATGTTTTGAAAACTGGTTGAAATTCTGATAGCATCATATGATTGATCACTTTCAAAATTTAAAACAAGCGACGTTAGTAAATAATTTAACTAATTCTTTAATTATTTTTAATGCTCATTAATGTGTGTAATCATAGTTACGAACAAATTAAACTGACCAATATTACACTTGTTCTATATCTTGCAAAATACCATTAAATTCTCATCATTTTATAGTTTTACTTTATTCCTAATAACAGATCAATTCAATGTTTTCTCTCTTCTGATTGTTAATTTTTTTTTATGAAATTTGATATTTGATTAATTATAGATACTTTTTGTTTCAGAATCTAAGAATCTCATGCATAGTAATTACGGAAAAGATTTTTTTTTATATTTGACATTTCTAGTAACAATCTGCATCAGTAAGCTGTAATTTATATTATTACATATTTTAAACTATAAGACAAGTAAATTATATGTATTATTTTAGTCTCGTATTCGATGATTAATCCAACTAATTATTATCTGAATTCTGCTTTGGAAAAAATATTTATAAGATCGCAACTGGATGATGAAGACGATAGAGATTTTACTGAAACAAAAACAATCAGAGATTTTTGGAAGGTATATGAAAAAAGTATTTAATTAATGATATTAATGTAGAGTAAAACCTGTCTAAGACGAAACGCAACGGTATCGCCCAAAATTTTCTGTATTCCAGGTTTTAGTTTTGTAGAGAACCCGTTTTAGGCAGGTTTTACAGTATTTTATAATAATATTCTTTACAGTTTTTAGAACATGTTCTAATTAATAATCTCTATTGGGAATCTTGGTATAATGGTGAACCTCTTGAAAATAACGAAGGAATATACTACACAACACAGTTACTGGGCACTCCCAGACTAAGACAGCTTCGTGTTAAGAACGATTCATGCAAAATCCACGAAGAATTTAAAACAAGAGTCAAAGAATGTTTTTCTCCTTATAGTTTATCTGCCGAAGATACCAAACCATTTGGTCTAATGAATGGAACTGCGTAAGTTTTCATAAGTTTTCAATATTTTACATTAAAAGTTATATTCGTTGTAATAATATTGCGTTCTGTTGTTCTAGTACTTAAATTAATGCAAATAATAACGACATAATTTACTGTAGACCATATCGGGACGGAATATTTATATAACTGTAGAATTTCTTTATATTAATAAGTTTAAATTCAATTTATTTTGATTTAAGTTTCGCATTGAAATAATTGTTTTGTAGTAGCTATTCTAAACTTCTTTACAGTTGAAAGTATTATAACTTTTGCAACTATTTGATTACAGAAAATGTTCAAAGGTTCCAGAAATGAATCAAAATATTATATGTGTTAGGCTACAAAGAAATTTACTTAATATTTTTGAAAATAATCAACGTGAAATTTAGCATAATCGGGGAACATTTTTAAAAAGTTGACAACGTTGTTGCCGGACTTTCCCAGAATACTTTATTTCTTTTCATCCCTAATAATTGGTACCATTATCTTTAAGTCTTCCGATTTACATAAAATTACTAATACGAACGAATACTCGTAAAATGGCGATCATTTAACAATTTTAAAACTATTACCCTCCCACCTCTTCAACACAAAGATATTTACGTATAATTTCGATTAATCTTATGATTAATAACATAAAATATTTATCTCAAAGAACTTCTTAAGAAAAATAGTGTTTTATATTTTTACTTTTGATCTAGATTTGCAAGTTGGGAAAATATCAGTTTATTTAAACTATTTTATTGATATATCTATATTGGAAAAGTTATAACTTTCGAAACAAATACATTTCTTTTTTGTTAAACTAAAAATTTGTAAGAGTAGAAAAAAATTCATAGCTTGGAACCTTTGTGAGATATTGCACTTATCCCTTTAATATCTCCCAAACCAATGGTCCGATACTCCTGAAAATTTCTAGAGATATTATCCTTTAATACAATAAAGTCTTTGAAAACTTCAGTAACTTTCACGAAAGGTACAAGCTCATTAAGTTTCAAAGTAGATGAAAAATAATGTCNTTTTTTTTTGTATCGAGATTTAGAATACGTCCATCGCGTCAGTACGGAAAACCATATTAGCGTTTGGTATGTCCATCTGTCTGCACAAACTACTTGGCACTGGATAAGTGAATTTTGATGAAATTTAGCAATAAAGGAACTGACAGGAATCCATCGACGTATTTTAAAACTCGTTCAAACAGGACGATTCCAAAAGAATTCGTGAAAGTTTTTAAAAAAATATAAACTGAATTTCTCTGGCGGAGATAAGGAGCATCTGTTCTTTGGCAAATAGTTTTTTGCTAAAAATCTGCACCAATGAAAATCAAGTTAGAAA